TACTTCCATAGGGTTTTCAGTTAGGGGTGGTTTTTAGGGGTAATTTGCAGTTTATGGAGAACGCTGCTCAAAAGGATGGTCCAATAGCAAAAAGTTTCAAATTAATGTTTTAGCTGAAGCTTTTTGCTATAAAAAACTCAGCGACAGCACCCCTCTATCTTCTATAGTTTTTTTTCTGCAGCGTCTTGAATAGTAGCATGTTTTTGTTCAAGGTCACTGAATCAACGTTTTGCCATTTTGCGCGCATTTGTTGCAGCAGCGGCCGAATGCATAATCCGATTTCAATTTTTCAAACACCACATTATTTCTAAAGAAATCCACTCTCCAATGCTTTTTTGTTCGAATTTTTTGCTTGAAAATTAAGCGAGCACCGACTTGTCTAATGTGCGAGGAAGTTGTAAATTGCATCGAAAACTACCCCTTTCTTGCATTCACTCTAATTTCTAAACGGGGCCAAATATTTGGTGACAGTTTTCGACAATCGGCAGCCCATTTATTCCTCTCATAATGCCCCAGCGGATTTTTTTTTTTCGTTAATCACTTAATGACTTATTGGCCTGAAAACGTCGCGCGGGATTTTTCAAAAAGTAAAAAAAAATTAAAATTGTCGCATAGCGCTGAAACTTGGTACGATGGCTTTATTTATTGTTCTCATGAATATACTGCAATTTTATATCATATGAAGCAATAAAAATTGCATTATATTCGTAAGAACAATAAATAAGGCCATCGTACCAAATTTCAGCGCTATGCGACAATTTTATTTTTTTTTTACTTTTTGAAAAATTCCGCGCGACGTTTTCAGGCCAATAAGTCATTGAATAATTGACGAAAAAAAAAAATCCGCTGGGGCATTATGAGAAGAATAAATGGGCTGCCGATTGTCGAAAACTGTCACCAAATATTTGGCCCCGTTTAGAAATTAGAGTGAATGCAAGAAAGGGGTAGTTTTCGATGCAATTTACAACTTCCTCGCACATTAGACAAGTCCGTGCTCGCTTAATTTTCAAGCAAAAAATTCGAACAAAAAAGCATTGGAGAGTGAATTTCATTAGCAATAATGTGGTGTTTGAAAAATTGAAATCGGATTATGCATTCGGCCGCTGCTGCAACAAATGCGCGCAAAATGGCAAAATGTTGATTCAGTGACCTTGAACAAAAACATGCTACTATTCAAGACGCTGCAGAAAAAAAAACTATAGAAGATAGAGGGGTGCTGTCGCTGAGTTTTTTATAGCAAAAAGCTTCAGCTACAACATTAATTTGAAACTTTTTGCTATTGGACCATCCTTTTGAGCAGCGTTCTCCATAAACCTCAAATTACCCCTAAAAATCACCCCTAACTGAAAACCCTATGGAAGTACAAGTTCGCAAACTTAATATGTTGTTTAGCATATTAGAATGAACCTATCCCTCCAAAAAAATTTCAACTTCTAATTATGTTGAGGTAACCCTTTTCAGATCTCCGTTTCTTGGACTACACCGGCGCCGGCGGCATATTCATTTTTTGCCAACGCAACTGATATTCGGCTAGATTCGTGCCCTGCGCCATGAAGCGTTGGCAGAATATGAGCATCGCAACCAGACGTTGGCACTTCATGTGACTGTATGTTACAAGCATTTTATTGATAATTAAGTCCGATATATTTTTTCATTCAAAGGAAGGGAAGATAAAAGATAAGAATTTTATTTACATGAAAACAATGAATGGCATAATATTGTGGTAGATAGAACTACCGATGTCTTTGGAACTAGGTACCCGATGGAAACTAATTATTTTATAGAGTGTGAGCTAAAAAAAATTAAATAAGAAAATGCAAAAGGTGAAAATTGAGAAATGTCGAAAATGCAAAATATCGAAAATATGAAAAGTTCAAAATACAATAGTTATTTATGCAACAAGTGTGTAAAGTGAACCTCTTTTCACGAATGTGAATTTTGACGCTCGAGCCGAAGGCGAGTGCGACAATCACATGAGTGAAAAAAGGTGCTTTACGCACGTATTGCATACAAAATTTTTTCTACTACCAATCAAATATGTGTAAAAAAATAAATTTAGACAAATACTTTATGCACTAGTGCGTGAAGAATTTTAACTTTACGCACTAGTGCGTGAAGTAATTTACCAGAAAAATGCCAAATTGACAGTGTTGACATCTCTCACTGACATTACTTTACGCACTAGTGTGTGAAGTGAATAACTTTACGCACTAGTGCGTGAAGTGAAATTTTACGTCTTCTGAATAGTGCGTAAAGTGAGTACTTTACCCACGGTAGTAGAAAAAAGATCTTTTTTTCTCTTCTTGTTGTAAAATAAATGTTCGGCTGAACTGTGTTTCTGTCGCACACCGTCAGAGAAACCAACTTCATTAACTCATAATACCTATTTATTCAAAATTTAATAATACATACATGCGCTCTATTTTTTATACGCGCTATTTTCTCGCTATTTGATCAGCTTCAGAAACAGAGATGGGTCGCATTTCCAGCACGGGTCATTTTGGGTTAATTTAAATAAGGTACTTCTCATTTCTTTGCTTGAAAACAGGAAATAGAAAGGACCAACGCCTAGTGCGGTTTTTTAACCAAAATTAGCCCAAACCAACCAAAAATAACCCATACTAACGCAAACCAACCGAAACTAACTCAAATCTACCAAAAAAGTTCTAGGGCCTTTGAATAGACACAATGATTAATTTTTAAACTTTTAATAAAGGTATTTCTTCAACAATAATTGCCACTTTCCAACTTAATTTATTTAGAGAATATTTTCCCGAACGCCAGGCAGGCTCTAAACTGCCAACGTTAGTCCACTTCAATCATAATTCGCCTACGCTGTGCTCGAACGAACACGAATGCAGCCGAAGGTCCTATTACGTTGGCAAAAAATGAATATGCGCGCCGGCGACGCCGTCGCGTCACGTCGCATCGCCCAGGCAAATAAACATGAAGAAATCTTTTCTAAATTTCGTTCCGACAACCAGTATTTCATTTTGCGGATTGTAGTTTCTAGTAGGGACTATTCAAAACATTTATGTAGGTTTTTTGAGTATTTATTCACGCCAAAGGTGCCTAATATTTGATCGTACCTTATACATAGCTTGAAAATAAAGTGGTTCAATTTAGAATAGATAAACTAAACATCGCGCGCTCTGTATATTCATAATTTTAATCAAGGATGGTTGATTTTTTTTTAAAAACTTTTTTGATACTTTGTCGTCATATCATACGCAGATACTATGACAAAATTCGTTCAAATAAAAAAGTTTCTCGCTTACCGAAAAACATGCTGCACTTAAAGTACGATTTGAAGTTCAATCCAGTTTCCAAAAAAAAAAAATTGAGTCACTATGGGATTTAAACTAGCACAGTTATCACCGCTTATATGGCCGAAATATGTGATCATATACAGGGTATTCTATTTAAAATAACAAACTTCTGTCGCATACCCTCTAAACGGAGCACCCTGTATATTCAAAATTATTTTTAACTAATGCATATTAGAGTATCAAACAACTTTGTAATTAATTTTTTTTTTCTTGCATCATCCTGTAAGGACTGGACACCCTGTATAAATAAATTATGTTCCGAATAATTATTGTTGCCTTTTTTGACATTTTCAAAAATGAGTATAGGGTCCCCAAATGTAAAAGTGCCTAGGGCTCCGAGATGGATAGAGACGGCCCTGATTTCGCTAAGTGAGATGGAATTATCGGGTAAACATATTTTTTCTTGATTAAGAAAATATGGTCCATTCCAACATAGTCCATATGATTTCAAATCCTGGGCATCTAAGCCTTTAGAAATAATTTCGGATGGATTTTGAGTTGTAGAGACATGAGTCCATTGATTTGCTTTTGAAAATTGTTGAATTCTGAAACACGATTTGCAACAAAAGTATTGAGTTGATTTGGTTGCTTATGAATCCAAGCTAATACAATTTGAGAATCCGTATAATAATAAATGTTATTGCAAATAAATTTTAATGATTTTTTTATTGTTTGAATTAATCTAATCATTAGTACAGCTCCACAAAGCGCAAGTTTAGGAATGCTGACACTCTTCACAGGAGAGACTCTAGACTTTGTACAAATAAGACAAACATAAACTTTTCCTGTAGAATCAACACTACGTAAATAGTAACAACAACCATACGCCTTCTGAGAAGCATCACTAAAACAAATGTCTGTATGTTTGAGGTGGATTTATAATATTACCTTGCATTTTTTGGGGCTTACACCTCAATTGAAATGATTACCAGAAATTTCTTGATCTTAAAACGAATTACTACAAGCGCTCTGATTAGAGCTATTTTACCTATTAGATTATTTTAATAAAATAAGATACTCGAATCAAGTTTTATTTCATTTTGATAAAATAATACTTTATTAGGCTCGCAGGTATAACTTCTGGACTTTTTGCTGACGTTTCGGTACCAAATCTGCTACTGTTGTCGAAACTTGGGGGATGGAACACCTAAAAAATAAAAAAGACAGAAAATTGTTCGTATATTTCGTAAATTTGTTTGAGCGAGAAGTTTACTATTCTTAGAAAATAAATATGATTTTCATTTATTAATGCAAGTAGAAAAAATAGTGTATGCAACTCTCATGTAATGGCCATTAATACATGATCATTGCATAATATCCTATTTTCTACTGACGTTTCATAATACGCCCAAAATCTGTTTTATAAGGAACTTCAACTAGTTCAAAAAAAGTTGAAATAAGATGGCGGATGTGTGTATGTGTCGTTACTGTGATAGACAAATTAAAACCAATCAAACCTCTATTAAGTGCTCTTCCTGCTGTTTGTGGATTCATAAGGGTTGTGCGGGCGTGAGTAAAGTGGAGTACGACAAATTATGTTCTCAGAAAACTAAATCGCATTCATGGTCCTGTAGAAATTGTCTAAAAAATGTAAACAAACGACTGCCCTTTGGAGTATGTGGGGGCTCGAGTACTGTTAATGAAGATAGCAACAGTTCAAGTAAAAACACGATGGTACGTCACGGCTCTACCGGAGCTACTCCAGTCTCAAACCTTGACGAATCGATCAATCAAAATTGTGAGATTACGATTCGGAAGCAAATAAACAACATGCTAAACAAAACAAACACTACAGATAAGAATGTTTTATGTATTATTTCTGGAGTTGTTGAACTTCTTCTGGATCAGAAAGAGGGGATACGAACTGCTCTTGACGAGATTACCCAAAGCATCCAAGCTAAAAATGAACGAATTGATGCATTGGAGTCAAAAATTATTCAGCTTCAGGAAGAGATCTCCTCCATAAAACCGGTCGGAGATGCCAATATTGCTAATGCAGACCCCCCCTCCAGCCAGTCATCGGACAAAAGTTTTGATATGTTTGCACAAGTACAGGACAGGGCGACTAGGTCGGAAAACTTGATGATTTTCAATATAGTTGAAAACACTTCAAATGACACTAACGTAAGAGTAAATCATGATAAAACGCATGTTAGTGATATACTGAGTCAATTGGAAGCCCAACAGGTTGGTGAATACAAGGTTGTACGTGTGGGTAAGTCAGGTGATCGCCCAAGACCTATTAAAGTAATTTTTTCCGATGCTCATGCTGTCTCACAATGTCTCAGATCGAAATATAAAATCAGGGAAAGTAACATCAAGATTAAACCTGATCTTACTGTGATGCAGAGAGGTCATTTGAAATCATTATTCGAAGAACTAGATCGCAGGAAGAATGATGGTGAGAATAATATAGGGCTCAGATACCGAAATGGTAATCCTTATATTGCCAAAGTATCCATTCCCAATATTTTATCAAAAAACGCTCACTAGCCCCATTGAGGTTATATTATCAAAACGTTGGTGGCATGAATACAAAAATTTAAGACTTAAAACTAGCAATTCCACTCTGTTATTATGATGTAATTATATTGACTGAGAGCTGGTTGAATGGTAAGGTGGCTGATTCGATGCTGAAATTTGTGATAGAGGTTCACCTCATATCGTGGGGATAGGAAAGAGTTAACTAGTGATAAGAAGAAAGGAGGGGGAGTCATTATTTTTGTAAAGAAAAATCTCTGCTGTAGGTTAATTAAAACAAATTACAATTTAGTTGAACATCTCTTCATATTTATCAAACAAGGCTCCACTCAACTAATTGTTGGCGGAGTTTATATACCCCCGAGTGGTGGTGCTGAATTATACCTGCATCATTGTGGGGCTGTGGAACAAGTATGCCATAACTACCCGTCTGCCAGCCTTACTCTCTGTGGGGACTATAACTTGCCTAGGGCTGAATAGAGCAGCGATGAACATGGACTTCAGGTGAACTGTCCTCCAGGATATCATGCTGAAATACTTGCGGAGAACTTTACCTTTTTGAATCTTATACCCAACTAATTACTATACCTAATAGTCGTAATGAATATTTGGACTTAGTTTTCAGTCATGTAACAAATGCATCTGTCACACTGGCCAGTGACTTTTTATTGCCTTGTAGCATACACCATGGTGCTTATGTATGTCGAATAAATGTTGTGAAAACCAAACCAGTGAATTATGAAATATCTTACCTGGATTACAGAAACTCAGATTTTGCTTCTCTCAACAATTACCTTGCAAGTACATATTCAGTGGAAAGAAATGTTTACAAACAAAAAAATCAACGAATCTATTGGCTTGTTTTACATAATATTGAGTGAAGCTTTGAATAATTTTGTACCTCGTAAAATTTACAGAAGCTCTAATTTTCCTAATTATTTCTCTGCCGAACTAAGAAGTTGCATTATCAACAAGAAAAAGGCTCATAGAAAATTCTGTGAATCTGGATCTCAAACTCACTATGCGAGGTTCTCTAATCTTAGAGCTAATTGTAAAATTTTAGTACAAAGGGATTATGCGCTTTTTTTGGAGAGATCTGAGCATGATATTTCTGAGAATCCCAGACATTTTTGGTCGTTTGTGAATTCACAGAGGAGGTCACACGAACTGCCCAGCTGTATGTACTATAACAACAAAGTGGCCGACGGTGGACAGGGCATTGCAGACCTTTTCTGTGAATATTTCTCAACAGTATATAGTAATAGTAATGCTATTGTACCTGATTATAAGGTTAACAACTATATTGACTTTGAAATTGGTGCCATAACTTTGTTTGATGTTTTTGATAGGATTGCGCATTTACCATTAAAATTGTCATCCGGGCCAGATAATGTACCTGAGTATTTGTTGAGTCATCTTAGATTTAGCATTTCAAAACCACTTTGGTTACTGTTCAATAAGTCACTCTGGCCGAAGGTGAGCTTCCGGGGATCTGGAAGGAGAGCTTTCTAATTCCTATTTTTAAGACAGGGGAGAAGGATTTTGTAAGTAATTACAGGAGCATTTCCATTTTATGAGACAGACCTTTCGAATACCTTGGAGAGTAGGTTTCAGGTGGACGCAGTCTACACAGACTTCTCGAAGTCGTTTGACAAGGCGAATCATAATCTACTTGTGGCCAAACTTCGAGCTATTGGTTTTGGTGAAAGAACTGTGGAATGGTTTCAGAGTATGCTGACAGGGAGAACTCAGAAGGTTAGGATCGGAAATTTCGAATCTAGTGGTATTGATGATACCTCTGGAGTGCCACAGGGTGGCCACTGTGCCCCAATATTATTTAACTTGTTTTTCTGTGATATTGAAAATTATATTGAAAACTGTGCCTATTTGCTCTATGCTGACGATCTCAAATTGTATAGAATTGTAGCTAACGACAGTGACTCAAAATTACTTCAAGAGTCGTTAACCCGGGAGTACACGCGTGCCGGTCAAAAGGACCGACCATTGATAAAATCAGTAATTACGCCACTGGTACAAGAGTGACAGTTTTGTCCATCCAGGAATGCCTGATGCAGGTTTTCCACTAACCATTGGCCCAAAGATATTTTGGTTTTTGGTTGAAGAAGGGTTCGTTGTTCTCCTAGTCGGTGCTTTGGACTAGGCGCGTGATCCTGAGTATCTGAAATATTTGTGTTCAAAAAAATTGCAAGCTGGTCAGAACTTAATGGACTATCCCTAAATGCTTCTAAGTGCACTTCTATAAGCTTTTTTAGGCACAAGAAAAAACATGAGACTAGTTACAAAATCGGGGATCAAGAGTTGAATGTCGTAAACTCAATCAAAGACCTAGGGATATATTTTGATTCTGAAATCACTTTTAGAGATCACATCAAGTATATAGTGGGTAAAGCGTTTCAGATGTTGGGCTTCATTTTCAGAGTTGGTAGGGATTTTACCGTGAACTCACTCCATTTACTGTACTGCTCTCTTGTAAGATCTCATTTAGAATATGCTTCAGTTGTTTGGTCACCATTTTATAACATCTATAAGGACCGACTTGAGAGAGTTCAACGCAAGTTTATAAAATACTGTGCCTATAAACTTGATATGACAGATAGACTAGAAGATGTCCAACTTCATCTTTGTCTTCCATCACTTCAAAACAGAAGAGCATTTTCCGACTTGTACTTCATTTATAAATTGATTAACGGTCACATGGACTGTCCGTATCTTATCAGTAAAGTCTTTCTGAAAGTACCATGCCGACCTCTTAGAAGAAGTGAGGTTTTTTATGTACCTGTCCATAGAGCTAATTATGGGGGTCATTCTCCTCTCGCCCGTGGTCTTGCTCTATTAAATGCTCACCCTGCGATTGGTCCTTTTGGATGCCCACTTGATAGATACCGTAACAATATTTTACGGTCCAAATTGTGATATTGTGCTATTTTGGTTTGGACATAGATAATTTATTATTTTTAATCTAGTTATAATAATTATTGTTATCTTTATTTTGAAATGTATATTTTTAAATGGGGCATCCCGTATACTTTAAATAAATAAATAAATAAAAACTTAGTTTTAGGCATACAGGATGCGTCAAAAAAGTGCAGCAGTGTGAAGTTATATTTTTTCAAATGAAACACCCTGTATATTGTACGTCCCCTTTAACCTGATTTCAACGATATACGGTTTGATATGTTTATCTCTCGGTTAATCTTCAATAGTTATAGGGAAAAACGTGAAAATCCCTTGCTAGGTCTCTCATGTTATTTTTTCAAAAATAATAATAGTAACTTAGACACCTGGATTTATTATAATATTTCACCTTGTATATTAATGAATAAAATTTGAACAATAAACTGTTCATAAAAAAAAATCTCTAAAGCTTAAATGGTATAATTTTTCTTTTTTCAATATGAAACCTTGAAAGGGGTTTTCATGTTCTTCCCTATAAATATCGAAGATTGACATATCAAATCGTATATCGTTGAAATCAGGTTAAAAGGGACTAACAAATAAGCGCACAATATGCAGGGTGTTCCATTTAAAAAATATAATTTCACACTGCTACACTTTTTTAACACACCCTGTATGTCTAAAACTGACTTAGTTAAAAACTTTCGACAATTTATTGAAACTTTTGTATTTGACACTTTTGTCAAAAATGTCAAATGAAAAAGTTAGAAGGGGGTGACATTTATAATAGATCACCCTGTACCTTCAAAGCGTTCCTTATTCCTTTTTCGTTAAGGAAATTGGCTGAATTATTCTGGATTTCAGATTATTTTTGTGAATGATGTACTTACAGCATTGTTTTCTGCTAATTGTATTGATAAAACGAATGACCTCTGTGTTTTGAGTTTCAATTTATTCTTCTTGAATCTTCGATAAATCTGCTGGACTGTTTATTTGGCGTTAATTCTTTTTAAAATTACATCCGGAACTCGTAGGACCAAAGTGTTGTACTGTAGGCGTTTCGACAATACGTATTTGTTTTATTTTTATATTGATAAAGAATTTGTATTGCAGAGATGATTTTTTATGTATTTAATTCCCACATAACAAAATTGCATCCTTAGTATGTACTGGGAATGTTCTTTTTTTAGGAGGAATGTGCCTAAAATGTTCGCCAAAACCATTGCGAATGTCCTGAGAATGTTCCGAGGAAAGATTGTAGAAATACTGCTTGCAATACCCAAGAACTTCCTGAGAAATCCATTTAGATATTCCTAGAATATACCTATGAGATTCTCATCAGTACATCCTGAAACGAATATTCCTGTTTGATTCTAAAAATATTCTTGAAATGTATATTCTCACATTCAAAGTATGTTTCTATGACATTATAGTTATGTTCTCAAAAGAATATTATACCAATATGCTTGAAATATTCTTAGAATATATCTACATATTATTATATCATTCTCAATATGCGTCCTAGACATAACATTCTTGTTTGATTCTAGGAATATAGTTGGAATGTTAATTTTCGCATCCAAATAATGCCCCTTTCAGTCCTTTTATATGAAAGGCAGTGAAAGAGTTGTTGGAAAACTTCTCTGGAAAACACAAGTGTTTAACCAAAGCTCCGGTTTCGAGCTTGTTATGCTCTCGTCGCGGTAAGCACGCCAACCACATACGCCAACTGAGAGAAACAGGTTCCAAGGTGATTCAAACGCTAGGCAAGATGTAGATCTTTAATAGCGCATGGCTCCCTCTCTTGGAAGTCCTACAAAGCAAAAGAAAAACAATATACCTATAATATTTTTAGTAGGATCTAGATAAAGCATTATTGTTTAATTGTTCAATTAAGATTTTTGAGTAGGTACTTTAGATAATTAGGCGAACAATATGGAAATATTTTTATCATGGTTACCTACAGAAGTTTCTCAGTACAACTTGGTAGGTATATTCTTAATA